ACTGCAAGGATCTTGCATCCAATAAAAAAAACTTTTATTTACCATTAATTGGTCGTGTTTATATATAGCTGCACAAGTGCTAGTGGGGCTGAGCAAACAACTGAAACAAATACATGTAATTAATTCAAATTGAACATAACATTATATTGTTAAAAATCCCAACTGGCTGGAGGCAAACCAGTTGCCTATTTACAAGCATGGCCAAGGATTTGAACTAATGGAGCTTCCATGAAACAAACCCAGGTTAAGTGGTCAAGGCAGGACTTGAACCCGTGAGTGGTGGATTGCAAGTCTATAATGTGCTGACCACTCAGCCACACTGCCTCCCTATATAGCGCAGAACCATTATATGGATATATTCAGTTGCTCTTCAAAATAATGTCAAAATAAATTATGTTAAAAGCAACTAAAAGCATAAGAAACTATTAAATACTACAAACCCATATACAATCAAAGGCAGCAACAGCCTTGTCATTAAACTAGTTAAAAGATAAGACATGCATGAATAAAAATCTGTTTGAAGGCTAAATTAAATAAAAAATTAGTTTTAACAGCAGTCTTGAAAGTGTCCAGTGTCTTTATGTTGAGAACTGTTGAAGGTATTACATTCCAAAGATAAGGTGCAACTGACTGGAATGCTCAATCACCAAGGGGTGGATGGGTCACATCTACTCCTTTTTTTTTATGTCAAAGTGTCTGGAAAACTATAAATAACGGAGTCAAATCTGAACAGATTCAAAGTCTAATAATCTGATAAGTAATAATAATAATAATTTAATATTTATACTGCACAAATTAACATGTGGAAATGATCAAATGCGCATCACAACACTTTTTGGGGACTGGCCAGACTGCATCAGCAATTTACAAACAATCGAAGGAAACTTATTTGAAGATGCCCCCTCCCCCCAATTCCCAGTAAACAGGCCAGACCACATCACAGTAATCTCGTGAGTGGGTTCTTTAACGTCCCCTGCCTAACCAAATTAACTAATTACTAGATGCAGGAGATAGGACCTACGGTTTATTCGTCCTTATCTGAGAAGACTAGAATGTCTATCCATTTCTTGATATTAAAGACAGGTAGCGCATTCTCCTCAGTAAAAAAAACTGTTATTTTAAGACCTTGAGTGTTGGTCTGGCTGGGGCTCGAACCATTGACCTCGACCTCCCACACAAAAGTCCAGCGTTCTAACCAATTGAGCTAACCGGGAGGCGGTTAGTACAAGCTAACTTGAGTAACAAAGACTCGTTTGACCTCAGAGAGTACCCCATGGATTGCTTTATGATGCTAATTAATACAATTATAAATAATTAGGAGCTAGACCATATAAACACTTAAATGTCAAAAGTAGAATCTTTAACTTCATATGGTAACTAATTGGGTCAGCCAATGAAGGAGAAAAAACAATGGCGTAACACAAAAGAATCTTGGTGTTCCTTTGACCAACTGAGTTGTGGCATTCTGTAATTCTGTTGGAGTTTCATGATATGTGAATTTGGGAGGCCAATTAGTATTAGGCTGTTACAATAATCTCCTTGACTGGTTATATGTAAGAGCACGAACTAATGATTTGGTGACTAGGTGACTTAAAGAAATATTTCCTAATTCTATATTACAAACTAAGATAATAGAAAGTGGATGAGCAAGTTCTGTTAATATGACTTAGCATTCTCATTTTCGAGTCAAACCAGGTTCCTAAGTTTTGAACTTCACATGATGGAACAATTTGGGAAATTTTTGAATTTCAGTTTGAGCATGATGGATGAAAAATCAAGGAAAAGTTTTCTATTAACTGGCAATAGCTGAAGGCTGTGAGAGATGACACCATATCAAAGCCTTGATGATTCTAACATGCACAAACAGAATTTAATGATCTTATTATATCATGTATATATACTTTTCTCTGTGGGTGTGGTGCCTTCTTCACTTAAAGGGAAAAAGGTTAGGCTTCCTTTGCATATTAGACTACAGTCAGAGCTTGTGGTGACTTACATGTAATTCTCAGGGGAAAATATGATCCACTTTTTTAACTTGAATTTCAGAATACTGAAAAGAATCATCCCTTCATTGGCAAGGTTGAATACCAATTCTCCAAAGTATTGATACTGCAAGGAGAGATTCAGTCTTTGGCAATCTCGACGAGGAGAGGGTTATATATACCAGATCCTCATTCTATGTACAGTGTTCCATGAACAATTGTGTCCCTTCTGATGGATGTGGACTGTTGTATTTTAGGATAATCACACTAAGAAAACCACAACAACCACATGGTGTGTTCTCTCTCCTTTATTCACAATGCATCATGGGTATGATGACATAAGAATATATTACATGGACTATAATGATCTGCTGTGAATAAGGAGAGTTAGGGAATATCCACAACTCATCGCATATTAGAATTGTTCTTGCACTTAGCGGTTAAACATTTCTATTTATCCTAATCAATCAACTTCATGCTTAAGGTTCCATACCTCCTTGACTGCATTGTCATCTTAAGGCACCCTTGCATGCACCCTTGATTGCACAAGTGCAAGATATTTGCCACTAATACCTTCCATTTCTTCTGAAACTGCATGGAAAATACTGGTTTGTGCTCCCTGTTCAGGGGTCTTAATGAAATACCAGAGGAATGGGAACAGCATGGAACTGGACAGAAAGGAGTGCCGGGTGAGTTCTGTATTCACCACCCCTGAATGGAGGGAATTCGCAGTAACATGTGTACCCTCTAGGCATTTGCGGAGCTCTTGTGTGAAGAGCATGTTGGCCAACTTGCTGTTAAAATAGGCCGCCAATGGACTGTAGCTCTTTTCAAAGTGAATGTCATCAAAGTTGATCCTCTGAGATCCTCTAGCATGAAATGAGGACGATACGTTTATAATGCGACTTGGTGATCAATGTTTTATCAGATCCAAGAGCAGCATCGTTAGCAGAAAATGGCCCAAGTGGTTGACTCCGAAATGCATCTCAAATCCTTCTTTGGTCTTCTAATAATCACAGGCCATCACTTTGACATTATTGACCAAGACATCCAACTGTGGCTCACTGTTCAGCATTTTGTTTGCAAAATTGTGGACAGACTCCAAGGACAAGTCCCTTAGTTCTTCTATTTCCTTCAGAGCTTCTTCGCCTTTCTCCATGTTCTTGCAACCGATGATTACTCTTGCCCCACGCAAGGCTAAATCCACTGCTGTTTCTTTTCCAATGCCAGTATTTGCACCGGTGATAACAACAGTTTTGCCTTCATACGTTTAGTGCTAGTGCATCGTGGTCCTAAAAAATATTTTCTACTGGGATAAAGGACAGCTAATGCGGCAGCACCGGAGTTACGTGACTCGTAGATAACTTGGAGTTGCGCGACCAATCTGCGTGACCTAACGCTTTTGATCTTTCCCAGAAATCAACACTAGCTTGGTATAGAACACAAAATGGCGGACGCTTATGAAGGAGTCAGTCGTGGTACCTTAAAGCTAAAAGGAGTCTCAGACGGAGGCGTTAAGAAGTAAAAGTCTATTTTATATTTTCTACCTAATAATTCATTAAACTGAGATTTCTTAGGTATCCTCAAGAAATTTTGCCCTCACAAAGGAAGACTACTTTGCTTCTTAATTATTCTGAAAGTGTCTTTAGCTGTTTCCCTGAATCCTTTTGTATTATTAAGGAAGAAAAAGAAGAACAAGGCAAAGAAAGTGCTTGAAGATTTGTCTCAGAGTGCATCTAAAGGAAAAAATGATCGAAGTGAAGAGGAGCACGAAGAGGAAATGGTTGATACACGAACACCAGCTGAAATTGCTTATGATAAAATTAAAGAGAAAAGGGTGAGTGACTAATCACTTTATTTGATGTCCGTTTGGAAGGGATCCTGTCAGTTTGATCCATGTTCACTCGCACAGCAGTAGTGAGACAAGAAAGTTAGTTGCTAAGTTTCTGCTTCTCGCTGCAAGTCTGAATTAAGTGGTCAGTGACAGCTTAGTGTGAAGTGATTGCTTATATATCTGGTTAATAATACAATAGTTAGTTGCTAAGTTTCTGCTTCTTGCTGCAAGTCTGAATTTAGTTGTCAGTGATAGCTTAGTGTGAAGTGATTGCTTAAGTATGTATCTGGTTAATAATACAATAGTTAGTTGCTAAGTTTCTGCTTCTTGCTGCAAGTCTGAATTTAGTTGTCAGTGATAGCTTAGTGTGAAGTGATTGCTTAAGTATGTACCTGGTTAATAATATAATAGTTGCTAAGTTTCTGCTTCTCGCTGCAAGTCTGAATTAAGTGCTCAGTGATAGCTTAGTGTGAAGTGATTGCTTATGTATCTGGTTAATAATACAATAGTTAGTTGCTAAGTTTCTGCTTCTTGCTGCAAGTCTGAATTTAGTTGTCAGTGATAGCTTAGTGTGAAGTGATTGCTTAAGTATGTACCTGGTTAATAATATAATAGTTGCTAAGTTTCTGCTTCTTGCTGCAAGTCTGAATTAAGTGGTCAGTGATAGCTTAGTGTGAAGTGATTGCTTATGTATCTGGTTAATAATACAATAGTTAGTTGCTAAGTTTCTGCTTCTTGCTGCAAGTCTGAATTTAGTTGTCAGTGATAGCTTAGTGTGAAGTGATTGCTCAAGTATGTATCTGGTTAATAATACAATAGTTAGTTGCTAAGATTCTGCTTCTTACTGCAAGTCTGAATTAAGAGGTCAGTGATAGCTTAGTAAGAAGTGATTGCTTAAGTATGTATCTGGTTGATAATACATGTAATTTATGTCTAAACTGAGTTTTAAGTATGTAGACATGTATCTTTATGCTTAACGCTAAAAACCCATCTTGTGTAATAATTTTCTGCTGACCATAGGTCAGCCTCTGAATTTGGCTCCTCTATGTTGTGACCTTTGGATTTGGCTCCTCTATGTTGTGACCTTGTGATGTTAGAGAATTTGTAAACTGAATAATCATAAGTCTTAGGAAGGTAATTTGGTTTTAATCAAGTGAGTTAAGAAATAAAATGTAAGTTTGCCATAATAGAGATTTTCTTAATTTTAGAGCTGACATTTACTCTAAGGAGAAATTAGGTGCAGGTCACTTCAGTTTGAAGACTTAAACTATCATCAAAAGTAAAACAGAGTGGAAATCTCATGTTGTCAGTTATCATTTAAAATTTAAGTTAATTTTTTTAGTGTTTTTAATTGTCACTATAATTTCAAAATCTATTTATTAATTTGTTATTTTTCATCATTTAGGCAGCAGAGAGGATTTTGAAGAAGGCAGAGAAAACCCACAAGCAAAGAGTTGAGGTATGTGAATTCTATAGGAAAATTAATTACTTGACGAGGGAATTCCATGTCATGATGATTGCGATATTGGTTTTCAAGTGCAATTTAACACTGAATTCATGAGTGAAGCAATCAATTTTCTTGAATTACACAGTTGAATGAAAACAAGAAAAAAAGAAAACAGCATTAATTATAGTATGTATATGCAGATGTGAAACAATAATTTATCACTTAGCCTCATTTTCAACTCTCAATTCCATGCTAAATACCTCACTTCGTTAACCAATGAGAAGGTGAGATTTTATTCAATGATGCAATTCTACAATATACTGCATAAGTATTACAAAGTATGTCCAGAACCCCCTTGAATTCTTATCTCCATTGTGGGTAATAATTTGATAAGCTGAATTTCATACACAATTGGATTGGTTCTTACCTATACTCCAGTGGAGTACAGATGCAATTATCATATAAAACAAATGGATTCCATGTTGCTGTGGGTCTTTAATTTTAATTACCGGTAATAGACAGGGTTCCCACACTCCTTGAAAGCCCTTGAATTGAATTTTTTGTTTTCAAGGGCGCAAAAACCCTTGAATTTAGTCGCAGGTCCTTGTAAATTTCTGAAAAGTCTTTGAAAATAAGTGCAGATGAATCAAACTGGAAGTTTTCTTTTGTTTTAGGTGTAAAAACTGTAAGTTTCTAACACAAATCATAAAAACGAGTTTTCCTTTCAAATCCCGCGACTGATTATGATGATTGACATGTTATTTTTATATATTTTGTACCTGATTGGTGCATTGAAAATAACCTTGGTTACCTAGCACATGATCACTTTGATGTGCATGTTTGAAGTGACGCTCATTGAACTTTTATCTGTTACTTTTAACAATTAAGAGCAATGTTTTCTATTTTTTTATTTTTATTGCTATAAGCTCCAATTTAAGGCAAAAGGTCCTTGAATTTGAGAGCCAAGGCAGGGCTTGACACTAACTTTTCAACTTACATCATAGATTTTACGACAATTTCAGTTTATTTACTAGTCAAACTGGCGAGTGGAAATCGAAAACCACCAGCCAAAACTGAATTTCTACTGCTCTGTGGCTAGTGGGCTACCATTAGTGTCAAGCCCTTTAAGGTCCTTGACATAAAAAGTCCTTGAAAATTGGGTTCCTGAAAAAGTGCAAGAACCTTGAATAGATCACAGATGGATGTCAAAATTTGGTAAGAACATCATTGGCACACTGGGCTGCATCTAGTGTGTGGAGTGTGTTCTTATCAGATCTTTGATCAACTACAGTACAGGCTTTCAGCAACATGAAATCCATGTTAAGTAATAATTATGAAAATCTACCCACTTGATGTAGTTTCAAGATTCTGAAGAGTAACTTAACCATGCAAGAATTGTTTTCAAATTGGCTAACAATTCAACTGTGTATGTCGCCATTTTAAGAACTGAATGCCCTCTAAAAGGACTTTGAGAAATCTTGTTTTTATCACAGTCTTTGGAAGTGAAATGTTTGAATTATCAATCCATATTCATTATCTGTGATGCTCGAGAAAATAATCCCACTTTGATTACAACGTGGCTATTTTTGTTCATTTTTATTCAACTTTTACCATACCCATTTCAATTTTACATGCAGGGTTTTTGGCTAACAAATCAGCCTTTGTAGCAGATTTTGACAAGGAGGCAAACCAGAATTAGCTGAAAATGCTAAGCTTTAATCCTTGATGAGTATTATGGGTGTTGTACCATTACTTATTTTAAATGTGAGGGCTTAAATGGTATTTCTTTTTTTATTCTTTTTTTCAGAAATTTAATGATTATCTTGATGGTCTCTCAGAACATTATGACATACCAAAAGTCAGCTGGACAAAATGATCTTCTTATCACTTTGATGTCATCAATTGGTTGCTTGTTGGAGAGAAGGCAAACAAATTGCTTCTCTACAGTGGATTTTGTTAGGAAAAAAAAAAAACCTATTGTATAAAAGACTTATCATGCAAGTGGTATAATTATGGTAGTTGTCCTGAATTGCCAGGGTCTCATCAGAGAGCATTAGCTAAAATTAAAACAAGGGATGTTTTACAAAGCCACAATGATTAATTAATTTTTGTAGATGTGGGTAAAAAAGGGGGATCAAGGAAAAGCAAGAGGACCCACTTCTTCTTACCCCTTCCAGCCTGCTTGCCTATTGTCTTCCTCTTGAGCAGTAGGATAGGATGCTCTTGTACCCTTACTCTGGGTTAAGTATCCAAAGTAGAGAGGACATCCATGTCATGGAGGAGTAGTTTAAGGACTCACTAGCAAATATGCACAGACTGTGAGCTTTGAATTAATCAACACTGTACCTTTAAAATGCCCACTTTTACTTTCACAATGTACAAGGTGGCATCTCCTATGTAACCAAAAATGCTTACTGGAGACATTAGCTTAGTGTCCTTTACAGCTGTTATTTGGTATGTCTTTCTACATGTTTAGCTACTTCAAGAAGAGCTGCTGCACAAAGGACCGGCATTTGTGTGGTCCTAGGTCTTCCCATTATTGAATTATAGAGACCGGTATCTTGACTGGGTGTTGCCAAGTAATACTGGTTGGTTAGGATGGAGAAAAGCCTGATGGGAACAAACTACAGCTGTGGGAAGGGGATATGGTTCATTGTTCGTGCTTAACCCCTTGGCTTTCCCTAGTTTTTCATTCTTACAATACCCTCAATAGTAAACTGTTTTATTTGCCTGAGACTCCTTGGTCTTTCCATTTCAGATTGACGGCTACAACACTCCCTCAGACACACTGGGAAATGAAAGGGTTCGAGTTGACATGAAACTATCAAAGCTAACATGCTGGTTGCTTTGTGCACGTTTGATAACTTTGGCTAAAACTGTATGTTCTCTTTAAGTCTTTATAAACATTGTCGATGCTAAAAAACTACTTTAACAATAGAATTGCAAGTGTTTTCTGTGAAAAGCACCTTGTAGTTAAAGTTTGTTCTGTTTTAAAGCCATCTCTTCCAGCATGTCATTCATTGATACCTCAACTTTTATCTGACTGCCAAAATTTTTCAGCTCACCTAAAAGACCAGTAGGAGGCTCACAGCGCTCAAATTTAACATCTTTACCAAACCTTTGTTGACAAACAGCTCTTAAATCAGAACAGGTATTATCAGCTAAACCAATGGAGACAGCATCCTTGCCAGTGAAAAAATCACCGCTAAACACAGTTTTATGTTTGACATCAAGTGATGGTCGCCTTTCTTTCACCAATTCAATGAAGTTGTTGTGAAGCTGCTTCAGCATATTTGTCACATAATCAACATCTTCTTGCTTGAGAGGGCTAAAGGGGTCCATTCGAACCTTGTGCTCACCTGAAGTGAAAATGCGTGACTCCATACCTAGACAATGCAGACACAAAACAAGAGAACAGTTACAACTGTCAGTAGTACCTTTGGGTTAGAGGAATATGTAGTAAAACCCTTAAGCCCTGAGAGTAACCAGCAACTGATTTCTCTTTATAGTTATAAAAGCTGAATCATTCATATGGATCCTAAGAATAAAGAAAATTATTGCCAACCCAAGAAGCTTTGATTGTTGAAAAAATTTACTTGTAAATACCAAAGGAAACCATGGAGAATGTAGATGCTCATGTAAGGGTGTGAAGGGTAAAAATATTAGCCTTGCATTCAATTTTCTGATGCAATCAATTGTTTCAAAGGGTTTTTAATTTGTGCTCTCTGTAAAGTAAACAGTAGAGGAGTCTTAACACTCACATAAAAGGCAGAAATAGAGGGAATTTTGAATAACGGGGAAATGACAAGGGTTAGAAGAGGGAGTTCAAAGAGAAAGGAACCCCCCCCCCCATCCCTTGTATCCACCTTTAATCATAAAAAGGCATCACATGCTGCATAGAGGATTGCAATTTTATGGGGAATAGGGGAGGGGTTCATAATGTGAGATGAAGGGTTAGAAGAGGGAGTTCAAGAGGAAAGGAACCCCCTCCCCCCCCCCATCCCTTGTATCCACCTTTAATCAGAAAAAGGCATCACATGCTGCAAAGAGGATTGCAATTTTGTGGGGAATAGGGGAGGGGTTCATAATGTGAGACGAAGATATTCGGGAGAGGCCCATTTGAGGATTTAGATTTCAAAAATTCATACCCCTTAAAAATTACCTCGTCACAGAGAGAGGTCAGTCTTACTCCAATCCGTCGTGGAATGAAATATTCGGCTTTTGCTTTTATCCCCTTACCTAGTTTCTTTATGGTTTCCTCGAAGCCAAACCCTTGAGAAAGGGCACCGATGCTCCCGATAATGGTGTTTGGCTCCACGAAGATTTCATCACCCGCCAAAGCCAAAATGTACCCCCCGGAGGCGGCCATGTCTTCCGCGAATGAAAGCACTGGGATTTTCGTTTCTTTCGCCAAAGCCCGTATTCGATGATAAATTAAGTTTGACTGAACAGGGGATCCTCCCCTACTGTTGATCTGCAAGCACACAGCTTTGGGCTTGACTTTCTTGACGTCGAACGCTTTGTCGAGGTGCTTTTCAACCTTGCGTAAATTCAAAATACCTGGCCCTTGTCGAGACTGAGAGACGATTGTGCCTTCCAGACGAACGATTCGAACGACATTTTTTGGAGTACGAAGGATAAAATTTTGAATGTTGTTCATGATCGCAGAATAACTGCAGTTGAAGGTAGCGAGGGTCAAAGAAAGACAAATTGTTGCAAATACTTGAATCAAGCTTCTTTGAAAGAAGTTATCCGCTAACAAGCAATATTTTGTACGCAGGCTCAAAAGCCGAACCGCTCGAAACTGCTGAGTAACAAATTCTGAGAATCTCGAAAATAGATTACCTCGGAAATAGCAGCTTGAAATTAATGGAGGATCAAAAAAACCATGCAGCGGAAGAAAATCCCGCGCTCGACACAATTGCAAGGTCTAGCGGGAAAAATACGGTTCCCCAGATCGAAAAAGAAAATGACAACAGTTCTGGGCTTTGTTCTACGCAATCAGAGCAGTTCTCAGGAAGTGTTTCTTGCAATATAGTGGAGCTCAGTAGTGATGATGAAGTGCAAATCATCGATGTGAAAAGGAAATCACCCGAGAAAAATCTGCAAGCAGATGATCGATGTACTTCTGGAAGGATAAGTCCGAAAGATACAACATGTTCGGTTTGTCTCAGTGAATATGACAACAAAGCTTTTCTTGATAAGTGTTTTCGTATCCTTTTAACAAGTGAAATAAGAGTTTAGATGAGTGAATGGGCTTGAGGTAACGATTGTCAGCTTATGAAAATAACTTGATGTTCTATGAATTCCAGCAACAAAGTGTGACAGTCACCCAGGTTCATGACGCCGGTGGTTTGTACAAATGAAGACCTTTACCCTCCCTGTGTTGGATAAGCTGTGCTATGAGATTGCTTTAATGGAATTTACTAGTAATTGGGTTGAAAGGGTAGGGTTTTTTCATATTTACACAGTTTTATTATCATTATTATTGATATCATTTGTTTCTCCTGCTGTCTGAAACTAAAGAAAGAACCACGTCCTTTCATCTCAAAGCCAGGTTAGGCTTCCGGCTTGATTCATATGTTTGCATGCAATGTACTCTGCCTCTAACAGAGAACCTTTGCAATTCATTCTCCTATTTGAAGCTAATGCTATAAAACAATCTTGAACCTTAACTTATACTGTAGATGCTTTCTGTTACTTCTGTATTTTACAATGGTCAGAAATAGTAAGGACCTGCCCTCTGTGCAAATCAAGCTTTACATCAATTATTCACAGTGTGAAATCTATGGACAATTACCAGCAGGTAATGACAATTTACACTTTATAATTAACCCTGTAAACCAAATTGAATCTTCTCTCCCTTTCTATACTAACATGTTTTAGCCTCTAACACTACCTCAGTTTAAGACCCCAAATGTAAAGAGTTATAAACCAAAATTGCCCCCTTTTATCTATAGCCATAGTGCATAGCATTAGCCATAAATAGAAAGGTATGAAATTTGGAAGATCTCAAACTTCCATTTTGAACTGCCCTGAAAAAAACCTGTAGGCCAAAATTTGGCCAACAGTTATCAGAAAGTTGACCAACAGTCACCTGACTTTCGGCCTACAGGCTTTTTTCAATTGCCCTGTGGTCTGATCACCCATGTGAGGGAAATCTTGACAAGGATTGCATGGTGTCAGTAACAGTGACTTACATTGTGGTAACCTCCAGTGGAAGACAAGAGTCCTTCTCTTAAATACCCTCGTCCAGATAATCAGACCACATGATCAAAATACAAACTATCCAAGGAAGATAACACATAGCCCATAATTCCTCCATTCCCAGTCTAATGAAGGGATAACACTCGAAACGTCAATAGCTAGTTTACATTATCAACTCATTTGATAAAATCAAAACTACTTTTTTATACTCTCCTAGTGATGCAGTACCACAGTTCCTTTAGAAACCTACCCACTTTATTCATACATCCTAGGAAGTTGTTTTTTATACTTCAACTGTGTGTCAATTTGGTTCGAAAGAATGAACTCAGGTACTTAGACTAGAATCCACGTCAAAATAAGTTGGCACATTGTTTTTGAACAGCTCTTTTTTATTTGTAGAATTAACACTTCTGTTTGCACCGCACTCTAAATTATTAACAAACCCCCCTCAGTGTGGCCTGTTTGTTGCTAAAAGATTGCAGAGGCAACTACCGTAACTTACCATTTCAACTTTGTTGATGTATATCCAAATTATTAACTTACCATTTCAGCTTTGTTGATATATCCAAATTATTAACTTAAAGCAATGTTAAGCTTTGAATTTCCAGATGTCTTGTCCATGGAGTTTGATTACAGTTATGTTGCTTTGTACAGAAAAGAAAAAAAAAACAAAAGGTTGCTCTATTTCTGTTCTGTTAGCTTGTCAGTTTTAACCATTTCAAATGACTCTTTCTTTTGCTATCAGCATTTTCTCTCCAAACCTGATCCACATGTGCTAACCACTCAGCAACGATCTCAAAGTGATGGAAGACGTTTCCGCTATAGAACAACAGTAACTGAAGGACACAGACAACAGCAACAGCAACAGCAACAGCACCAGAGGGGTGACACTGACATGTGGGTACAGCCAGCTGGACAACGGCAGGCTCACATTGCAGCACAAAGAGATAGAAAGGCAGTGGGTCGCGAAAGGAGAAGGTTGTTCTTAATCTGCAGTTCACAGAATTATATGATGTTCATATATTCACAG